CCAAACCCTCCAAAACCGTCTAAACCCTCCAAACACCCTCCAACCCCCTCCAAAACCCTCCAAACACCTTCCGCCACAGGCACCCCAGGGCCAAGGCCACTTCTCAAACAAGCACCCCGGGGCCAAGGCCCTGGGCCAAGGCCACAGCAATGGCTTTCTATTGGCTTTCAAAGCTGCCGTTTGCCAGCCCGCAAACACTCCAAACCCTCCAAAACTCTCCAAACCCTCCAAACACCCTCCAAACACCCTCCAAAACCCTCCAAACCCTCCAAACCCTCCAAAACCTTCCAAACCCTCAACCCCCTTCAAAATCTCCAAACCCTCCAAAACCCATCTGTCATCCATCTCTCTCTCTCTCTCTCTCTCTCTCTCTCTCCCCATAGTGCCCCCCAAATAGAGGGGGGTCGGCGGCACCTGGGCGCTAGCCCATTCTATTATGGAAACATCATGACTGTTATTATAACTATTGAAACTCATCAATCAACTTGGAATGAACAATGAAAACTCTTGGGGGAAAACACTGGATCAAGAATCACGTTAGTCCCATGATCATCGAAGATCCAACTCTTTTGGTTGGATTTTGATACCATGCGACCGATCATGGCAACATGTGCAAAATCACTCTAATTGTGTGTGAAACATGGTGATTTGTCCACTGGTACAACTATATCATTCATATCCAGTACGATATCCACTATCACTATCCACCAAGATACATTCAGTCTTACACGAAAAACATTATTGACTCATCATGGCGGTATCCCACAAAATTGGGATGGTGTCAGGTCCCAAAATGAATGTTTGGTGGTGTTATTTCTTCTTGACTTTCACCTATATTCGCGTTGATGATCCAATTTGACTCACATTTATGAAAGGGATGCTTGAAACCACCGACCATTAAACGCCCTTATTTTACATCATTTTACCTGGTAAATCCTCCATCAAACATGGTTAAATCCGCTTGATATAAAGTATTCTTAGACGATCAATAGTGCCAGTTTCCCCAACTTCCGGGGGTTGCACTTTGTCAATTGAACCGCCAAGGACTTTTCTTGGGAGCCCAGCCATTGCCAGCAGCTCTCGCCAAGCAGTCCGAGCTACTGGGAATCTAAAGGGAATATCATGGGATATGGTGGGATATATATATATATTAATTAGATTTTGGTGTCAAATGTGGCTGGAAAATGGCGACCATTGAGTTCGATGATCTTCCAATGTTTGCCAGTGTTTACCTATCAAAATATCCATGTTTGATACCACCGCGCTAGGGGCAAATGTCGAGACCTTCCCAGTCGGGTAGTGTTAGATGGCTACGAATGTGGGCGGTGTATTTTTTTCTGGCACACAACTATATATCTGGTTGGTGGTATACCTACCGCTCTGAAAAATATGATAGTCAGATTGAATCACCATCCCAACTATTGGGGAAAATAGAATTCATGTTCCAAAGCACCAACCAGATATGGTTGTTTGATGTTTGTAGATTGTAAGTTTTTCGGCCGAACTATAAACTGGTGAGTTTTGTGGTATCACTACTCTTGAAATCTGGACAGCCTGGACCGCCACATGGGGAAACTCCTGGGATCAACACGACGAAGCTGGGACAGTTGGGAGACTCAGCATGACTCAGCATGACTCCTGCTGGGGAATCCCAGATGTTAACCCATCCCCTATGCTCCATCAACTTCACACATCTGGATTTTTTTTTCCACAGAATCTGCGACTCAGTTTCTTCGCAGAGCTACGCTATGGGCATTCTATCCAGCTATATCTATATCTATAGAGCTACGCATTGACGTAAGATCCTGCACCAAAGACGTGTGCAACGTTCTGGAACCAAGAAATCATGGGGCATCATGGTGCGATACTGTTGTTCATCTTCAGCCTTTTCATGAATGAAACATACGTGGACTTTGGATGGGACATTGAAATTAGAACTAATTCAATTGTTTTTTTTGGAAATAGAGGATCCCCAAAACCATGGGTTTCACTACTAAAATTGTCTAATGTTGGATGATTTGGGGTACAGTACCCCCATTTTTAGGAACCCTCCATACAGTATCCTAATGAGTGAGTCAGTATCCCAGAATTTGTCTCAAACGCCATCTGGTGGCATTCATGTGGCCATGTGGCATCTGTTGGCGCAGGATTTCTTGCAGCTCCAGATTTCCTAGGTGTTCCTCGCTTCTCACTGCACATCACTGCACCTTCATGTCCGGCAGCGGCTGCATCTCATCGATTCTGGCTCTTCATCTCCAGGTGCTGAACGCCGCGACCTTCCAGGCTGACGCTCTGATCCATGACCTTCCCCAGCACTTGCCGAAGCAGTCGATGCCGGGCCATGCCGGGGCCAACTGGAGCACTCCCGGCGCCTTTTTGACCTATGGACCACATGGATAGCTATGGCAAGTCCACCTTGGGGTCAGGTTGATGCTCCTTTTCCTTTTCCACTTCCGAGGTGGTCTGGGCGCCGGACTTCTTTGCCTCGCTGTTGCTGGATGATAAAGGGGAGGCACTGGCCCCGTTGTTCTCCGGAGGATGCTTCAAATTTTCAATCCTCACCTGGTTGTTGCGTTCAACCCTGCTAGTATTAGTCATTGGGGATCATCATCCCAATGTTAGATCTGGAACATCTGATTTTTGGATGTTCTTTTGGAGCATATGAAACTGATTTTTCGAACAATCATCATTCATCCCAAAAAAAATGGAGGGATTTGGACGGTAAAATGAACATCAAAATGACGCCTAAATCACCAAGACAGTCACTGGATCAGCATCTTCCGCAGCCGGGACTGGTTGGACACTGCTGGCACTGGTGACGGGTGGTTCTTTGGCAGATTGCGAGCTCCGGCCTGCGCAGGGGGGTACAAGGAGCCAAACAAGTGTCATGCTTCAACCAGTTTTTCCAAGGATTTCTCATTACAAACAACAAGAACAACATAATACAACATATATATATATATAGTCGAATTCAACAAACCAGCAAGACGGTTGGATCTGGGCGGTATGACTATGGGTCGAACACTCTAGGTACAAAATCATTTCTCGATGAATTAACCAGCATGTAGGCGCCGAGACAGGCGCCTCGCAAATTTGCAGTTGCTTTCTGAGCCTCAGAACTTTCGCTAAAAGGAGAAATAACCATAGAAGACAGCTGTTTAGACGGTAGTTGCTCAGATGTGATGCTGTCACTATCAACATTTGTTTAAGGCAACCATGACATCAAACGACCAAGTGTTGACATAACGGACATACATACTGACATGAAAGAACTGAACCTTTAAGAGGCTGGGTGCAGATCATGTCTGCCCTTGCGATCCTGAGGGACCTGGGCTATCTTGGCTAAGACAGTTCTGACTATATAGGGTACCTCCCTGCATCCCACCATTAATAAAAAAAAGTATATAACAAAACACATAGCAATATACAACATAAAGATAGGAATATGATCGTCATCATCATCGTCATCATCATCATCATCATCGCATCTTCAGCGTCAGCGTCACCATCACCATTGTTGCACATTATGGAATATCATTGAACATTATAGACATAGATATTGCTCCACCCAAAGATTATCATATTGGTATCCCACATCCGCGCCCGGGCCCGCACATCGCCCTTAAATCTTCTCCGACAGTGCTTAGGTTCAGACCTCCAGAACTGCACCTGGACCTGACTCTGGGGCCACCAGGGCGAGGTAAATGGTGACTTTGACGATGGGCCCAGTTTAAGCATGTTCAATTCATGAAAAATGGAGTTGGCCTTGTAAATGGGGAACACACATGTTGCGGAGAGAATCAGAAATCATTGGATGTTGGACTGCCCCATTTTCAGACAAACGCATATAAAAGGAACAGTCCTGCAGAAACTACAGTCCTTTGTCTTATCACTAGTAGCTCTGAGTAGCTTGAAGATCTGAGCTCATGATCTCATGTCAAAACAGTTTAGCCAGTTTAGCCAGGAGTCCCGGCTCAGGGAATTAACATTTGAGATTTTTGGACCCTTGCCTTGTCCTTCATCCATGAACTTATGCTGATAGCGAGAATCCTGTGACCCCCGGACAATAATCGGTGTGTACCTTAAAATGATATGGGTTATGCGTGTGTATATATATATATTATAACTATTTATTGGGAGAATGATGAAAATGATGATCAAACTCAGGATTCTCAGGTGTTTCCAAAATTTTCAGGTGGCAATGTGCTGTCTTCTTTCTTCCTGGATTCTAACTTTCCCAGCCTTCCCAACCTGCCGAGAAACTGCTGGTGGACTCTGCTGATGAAAGCCCGGTTTCCTTTCGTTTGGCAAAGTCTTCAGTGAGCTGCTTCACCATATGGCCCAAAACATTTGTACCTCACGACGGATGCTGGTGCGGCACTGGTAGATGCCACCGCCCTTACAGCAGCATTTACAGTAAAATCACAGCCATCATCAGCCATCAGCATCTCACAGTGTATATCCAAAAAAATCCAAAAGCATCCAGAAACTACTACCCATACCATGCATGTATGGCCTAGGTACCTACAAGGAGGGATACCTGAGATGACCTACACGGATGAAATCAAGCGCTCACAGGAGGCCGTGGAGGGAACTCATAGCCTGTGGAGAACGTACTCGAAGGGATGTGCTAAGAAAAACATCGTGGAACAACCAGGAATTGTCAACTATTCCAGTGAGATCTTGTTCATCTGTTTTTCCGGTAGAACTCTTTCAGGGCGCGAAAATTCAGACAGTAAATTGGGCAATCCACCCACAATGCCAAGCTTATTGCTGGAGACCACGTTTTTCCTAAATACCTTCTGATCCTGCTTGTGACTGGCATTGCGCTTTGGAAAAGACGGTTCCTTGCATATTTCTTTAAAATCCCTTAAAACCCTTTAAACAAATTAGTGATTGGGTGGGTAAAGCAATATTAAACGATATTAAACAAACAATAAGCAAGTGAACCAGTGAATAACCCCCAAAGAATAGGGACATCAAAGGACCCAATAGGGACAACAGAAGCACAACTGGCACTGGGATCGCCCGACCATTGTTCACTGCCGCTCGAGCCCAGGCCATCTGCTGTTCCTAAGCATAGGACATATCCTGGAGATCTTGGGAATAGCACTACACTATAAATGATTACTAACTGGTAATATCTACTTGGTCATACTACAATAACACTACACTTCATGGGAGTCACTACACTCAAGTCTGACCAAGGCGAACAACATATCAACAACCGTGCAGAATTGCCCACAAGGAGGCCTTGACCAAGACAGCTGGGAATCCAAGTGACAGCAAAGGGGATTGCTTGACCAATTGACCCACAGTTTGCTGGGATGTTGGCCAACACAAACAGGGATTTCACAACAAAATAGTCACAAATTTGTACGGTACTTTCAACATGTTCTATTTGATGGTCCATTTCAGGAGACCTTCTCTGTCTTGCCACTTGGAGGTTCTTGCTAACCATGTCCCGATATTTTTCCAGGTAGGAAACCATACCCAACTTTACCAGACGTTCTTGCAAATCATACCCCTACTTATCAAAAGGGGTTTACCCTCTGGTAAAAACTTGGATATGGAAAATCATAATTTTCAACAGGTAGGTCAACTAATATCAACTATAAATGGTCCATGTTCCATAGCTATGTTAGAAACAGGCCCAATTTCTTGGGTTTTCGAAAGCCGTGGGTCATGGGGGCCCAGTTGCTAAGTGGTTAGTAACGATATGAAATGACCTAGTTATAGAATGCTATAGACAGGAGATACCACAGTAATATATATATATACATACACATTTTACATATATAGAAAAATAAATATATGTAAATATGGAAATCTGCATATATGTATGTGTATATATGTATATGTGTATATATGTCTATATGTATAAATGTACACATGTATATATGTATTTGATGCATATATGTATAAATGTAAACATGCATACATGCATATGTACAAATGTACATATATTGTATAAATGTGTATATGTGTATATGTATACATGTATATTTGTAAATATGTAAATATGTATATATGTAAATATGTAAATATGTATGGATGTAAAGATGTATAGATGTATAGATGTATATATGTATAGATGTATAGATGTATAGATGTAAATATGCATATATGTATACATGTATACCTGTATACATGTATATATGTATATAGGTATACATGTATATAGGTATAAAAGTATAAAGGTATATATGTATATATGTATACAGGTATATATATGAATATTTGTATAGATGTATTGATGTATATATGTATAGATGCAAAGATGTATATATATGTATATATGTATACTTGTACAGATGTATAAATGTATACATGTATAAATGTATATATGTATATGTGTATATATGTATATATGTTTATATGTGAATATGTAAATATGTATATATATATATATAATTTTTTTATATTAGATAATTTAATATTATATTATATTATATTATATTATATGATATTATATATTAAATGAAATTATATTATATTGTATTATATTATATGTTAACTTAAATTATATTATATATTACATTATATTTTTTAAAATTATATTATATTTTATTTTATGATATTATATTATATATGATATTATATGATATTATATTATATTGTATTATATTATATTATATTATATTATATTATATATTACATTATATTATATATATTACATATTATATATATATATTTACATCTAACATATATTAACTGCCAACTTTATCCCATAGTCTTCGGTCGACCACATGACACTGAGACTTCGACGGTCTGTGGCCTGCCAAATTGCGTGTTATGGCTGAGGAAATCACGTGACTCTTGGCTTAAGAGAAAAAACAGGGTTAAATCTAGAGCACATAATAAACAAATGGTGAAGACACAATCATCGTATTGATAATTTCTATAATCTTCGTTTGTTCCTGAATGCGTAGCAAGGGTTCCCGTTTCACCCTGGGGGTTGAGGGTATGTTCGCTCGACGCTGCGCAACTTCGCAACCGTCCGCGTGAGGGCCGTAAGTTCTGCAAAAGGGGACATTTTTGGAGGTTTGAAACGTCGCGTTGCTTCGTTTCGCGTGGCAGGCATGGCACTTCGTGACATTCAGATGTGTTTCGTAACATGTGGAAAGTCGTTTTGCGTGGCAGGCGCAGCACTTTAGACATCTCGTGTTGCGTGTCGCATTGTCAGGGCTGCGTCAAGTCGCGACTAGGTGCAAATTCCGTGGCAGGCATGGCATTTTGTGAGATGTGATGAAAATTGACGGAAGCCTCGCACGAAACATTTTTGAGGTAGCAAATTTGGAGGTTTTTTAAGAAAACTCGTAGGAAAACGTCAATTTTGAAGCTACAAAGTATGAAAATTGATGAACATTGGAGGAAGTCTCGCACGAAATGCTCGTTTTGATGCTCCCACGTGTCTCGTCTCGAGTCTCTGGTTTTGCTGTGGCCTTGCCGTGTCTATAGGGGAAGCTGCAAAACCTCTCCTTTTCGAAGGTTTCCGAGCAGGTTGTCACGTCGTTTTGCGTGGCAGGCGTGGCACTTTGTGACATTCCAACCTGTTTGATAACGTGTCGAAATTCGTTTTGTGTGGCAGGCGCAATACTTTTGCATCATTTTCACAAGATGAGCTGCAGCTTTCGTGACAGGCGCAGCACTTTGGAGACCTCCATCGTCATTTTGCGTGGCAGGCGCAGCACTTCAGACGTGTCGCATTGCGTGCTCTACACTCCACACTCCGCACTCTACACTCCACACTCCACCCTTTACACTTCACACTTTACATTCCACACTCAACACTTTACACTTTACACTCCACACATCACACTCCACAAACCACACTCTACACTCCACATTCCACACTCGACACTTTACACACCACACTCCACACTCTACACTTTACATTCCACACTTTACACTCTACACTTTACACTCTACACTTTACACTCCGCACTTTACACTCCACACTCAACACTTTACACTCCACACTCTACACTGTACACTCTACACATTACACTGCGTATTCCACACTCGACACTTTACACTCCACACTTTACAATCGACACTCCACATTCTACACTCCACACTTTACACTCCACACTTCACACTCTACACTTCACACTCTACACTTTACACTCCACACTTCACACTCCACACTTTACACTCCACACTCAACACTTTACACTCCACACTCTACACTGTACACTCTACACATTACACTGCGTATTCCACACTCGACACTCTACACTTTACACTCTACACTTTACACTCTACACTTTACACTCCACACTCTACACTCCACACTCTACACTCCACACTTCACACTTCACACTCCACACTCTACACTCCACCCTTTGCACTCCACCCTCTTCCGCATTCCACAGTCTAGTGGTACGGTAACAGTGGAAAAATGTACAAGACTGTTCAAATAACTTGTTTCTCACAAGTGTTCTACGTGACTGCATTCGGGTTCGTGGGCTGCATCGCCCAATTCATGGACAAACACCGAGGTGGAGGTTGAACACCCACAGTATCCAAGAGGCTACGGATCATTTACCAACATCTACCCCTTAAACTCACCCAAATGGTGGCACACACATATACACACGGAGATAGATGGAAGGTATGAGACATGGTGCATTTCCCAATCTTCCAATATCTTCCCAATCCCAACCGCAGGCAATGCTGCGGCCTATCGCCATGTCTTCCCGTGAGCTTGTTGCGACCTTCCCTGGCGAGTTGCCTGGGCAACTGGAAATCCCATCAGGGAATTCACCTATGCATTCATTGCAGCTTCGAATTAGTAATGAGATGTGAGTTGGCTTCCCAGCTATGGATAGCTATGGTAGTTTACTGGCATCTGGAGGGTAGATAAACCTGAAGTGATCCTCCGCTAGTAGATGGGTGCAGCTACTGCGTGCTGGCGAATCCATACCTACTATGATTACACGCATACTTTTGTCGCTAAGCCTGCAAAAATGTTTTCATTTCGAAGGATGTCAATGTGAAGGTACATGGATTGTTCAATAGATATACAGTAATGAACAAAAAATCCAGAGAAAACCCCTACCTTTGACGGTAAAAACACAATGGCGTCTGGTATATCTTTGCTTGAACTATACCATTGTTTTATGGATTCTTCATTGTACATTCCTTCCCATTTTGTTGTTGGTTGCTCATTATGACATTGTATTATTCAAACGTGACAATTCCATATAATTCCCTACTGCTGACGGCTAAATCATGTTCAACCCCCATGTTTTGATGTCTAGGCCGCATGGATATCCTCATTTTAGCGGGTTAACTATGTTCTACCATGTTCTACCCATTGATTTTGAGCCCTAAATCCCCATTCTTCGCTGGTTCAACCCCCACGTTTTGGCTCCAGGGTGCTTCAGTCGTTCTTTCAGCAAGGGCCCGATGAAGCGATGCGTCCGTTCACCTGTGGATGTCAAGGTACTCTCTGGTAATTTGTCACTGTTTGCCATAGGTAAAATGAGCATGTTTCATAGGTAAACCTAGGTAAACCTAGGTAAACCATCGAAGAAACGGGCCACCTATACCATAGTAAACTGTTGCAGTGAATTCAGGGTACATCCAGTCCAGTGTTTATGAACATATCCCGAACCATATGGAGGTTTCCAATCCATACCAATCATCCAGCTATTGGGGTACCCCCACCATGATACCCCTGCGGCCACCTCCCAATGGATCGTTGAGCACTGACTGCAACAGGACGATGTTGATGGCCTCGGGGCATTATAATATATACCTTGACTCTCCAACGACCCTTATTTTTTGGGGTCTTTCAAGAAAAATGGCATTTTTTTCCGAAAGTACCTTTTTTGAAATCAAGTATTGTTTTTTGCATGTTAGTGATGTTCACTCGTGGAGGTACAGCTGAAACTGTGGAAATCAAATAAATGTGCCACATTGCCAACTTGCAACTCATTGTTGCAGGTGCCATTTTGTTTTGGCTGCTTGAAGATGCAGGAGCAAAGATTTCCAAAGTATTGGTTCTCGTTTACATATTTGATGCCATGGTTTCGATCTTCCTTGCTTTGATTTTTGGACGCGCTTGCGGACATGCGGGTGCATTGCTCAATTTTGGTGACAACTTGTCCTTGGAAAATTTGCCCATACAACGCAAACATGCAAAGGCCTTTTTTTCTTCAAATGTACCTTTTTTTGCTGAGGGCCGTCCGGACGGCGTCCGAAAGTACGGAAAAATGCGCCCAAAGTACGGAAATATCCGTCCAGTTTGGACCTGTCCGAACAAAAAGGATTTTTTTTTCCAAAAACACACCTTTTTCTTCACGTCCGTCCGTCCATCCGTCAAAACTGTTTCAGCAGCTGGCACCACAAGATCAAGGCGAGTGGATGTGCTCAAACCCCGTGTATGTTCCGCATAAGTGTCGCAATGTGCAAATGTCTGCCCCCGCAGCTCATTACAAAAAGCAGGCGAAGGTTTTATAGTTCGACGCGAATTGTGGATCCAAAGCTGTTCAGCCATGAAGTTTTAGTTACGCGCCTGGGTCTGAATGATGTGTGAGGGTGCCTGATCCAACATCAGACAGGACAAGCACAAAACGCTCACATGATTTAGCTTAGTAATGCTTAGTGTATATAGCCAGCACCTGCTTGGAAGATAAAAGGCCTTTTTTGCATGAAACGACCCCAAAAAGTATCAAACGTACCCAAAAAAGATGTGTTTTGCAAACGACCCCAAAAACGAAGGGTAGTGGAGACTCCAAGTGTGTATATATATATAACTATATCAAACTATATCGATATTATATTACAATAGCCATAAGTATAAAGCTATACAATATAACTATATCATACTATATGTAGCTTGATATAGTCTAATACGGGTATACATACACAATGACTACATGCAAGCACATATACAAGCATACAAATATACAATCTATACTTTTTACATAGAAACGTATATTCTGGGTGATTGAAAAAGATCATACTTTGCTGTCCATTGTGAAATGTTTCACCCTGGCTGACAGGTGGCTTCGAGCATGGAAATGAACACATATCTCGAGGCGGCCAATTTAGGGGCCCATTCGATCAAACACAGAAGTTATCCGCCAAATTTCACTGATGTTAAACACATACTAAGGAAACACATGTTGCCCTTTCTTTGCTTTATGTTTGAGATTTGGCATCTTATCTTTTAGGGAATCACTGCAGACATACACATAGAACATCTTGCTGTTGCTTATAGCTTGCTTCACATCTGCAACACTCACAGATTCTGTCCTGCTCTGTCCTGCTATAAACAGCGTTGACATATTGCCGTGTGGCAATCAAAAAACAGGGAATATGAAGCTTTCGACCACTGGATGGAATGGGGTTGTCCCCAAAATCTTGAGACAAAGCAATGCCATAGTATGCCATAGTATACGTGTGTATATACTATATTTCATAGAGACATGCAAAAATCAGTATCATTTAAAAACAACATCAAAATCATCCAAAATCACGATTTACCAACTTGCCACGGATTTGTGTAGCAGATGATGATTTTGCCTGGCCAAGTTGCGGCAAAGGCTGCTAAGAGGAACAGCCCACAAAAAGCCACCGAAATGTTGTTGCGAAGCTGTCGTGCTCGTGCTTCCTGCACTGCTGAAAAAAGCTTCGACTGTAGTCGAGAGTCTCAGATTGTATTGTCGCATATCGACAAATATTGCAATGATTGCATTAGTTCTCTTATAATTAGTTGATATGCGAAGAAACATTATTATTCACAGCGGACTTATGCTACAGTCGGTAGAATTATGTAGTATGACTTGACAGCATAAATCTTCATAAAAAGCAATCTTGAAAAGTGATGTATCCCTGCAAATACAAGATTCTGTCTTTGCGCACGGAAACTGTCACAATAATCATCCACTATGGCAGAGTATTCCTATGCTACCAGGTTGCCATTCTCAGAAAACATGTGTTTCAAGTTGAGATATCATGTCATCGTCCTTTCTTGTCCAATACCACTTTGCCACTCAAAGTTCGGACTCATCTGGGTACGGTTCCAACTTTTGGTCCCAGGGAACCGCCAAAAAATGCGACATGTTTCCTGCTTCAGCCATCCATCTGGTGCAATTATGAAGTTTTTTGCTGGGACGATCCCACTTATTACTACCATCATTTACCCTGAAGTAAAATAAGATCGCTATGGAAGCCATGGCCCACGAAACAAAAAAAACTTGATTTATATACCTGCTAAAAGGATTTCAAGGGGTTGATTGTCCACAGCTATGTTAAAAAAAAACCAGAGGGTACAGTTTTGATCTACCCAGATCCATATCCAGCTATGCTTTGCCAAGTTTGGACCGACGTTTTGCCTTTGCTGCACCTCGTTGCATTTTCGCTGACCATCAATCCGTTTTTCGGAGTTGCTGATCACAGCTCTCATGGCGAGACCCGACGGGCAATGGGGGGCCACGTTCTGCGTTTGCAAAGGATAGAAGCCAAAACATCTGCAGTAAAAAAAACGAGAAACAATAGCATTGGTAAAAGATGGGGTACTGATGACCCACACAATTGATCAAAATCTGTATTGAAGTGTCCATTTGCGGTCAATGAATTCGCCCCATTCCATTGGCGTTTTACCATGAGACTCATGAGATAATATCCTTCAGCATCCTTCAGCCTGTTCCTCCCATGACACTTGAAGAGTAGTCGTCGTCATTCGTGTCCAGGGGGCCACGTATTCTCATAGATTCACCCATGAATCAACAGACGGGTTGTTAGTTTCTTATGGTTTCTTCAGTTTCTTCTCTCACTGATGCTTAGTAGGGAATGGGGGAAGGGGATGATGGTTAATAGAATTTATAGATCATTCCCCCATTCCCTACTAAGCACCAGTAAGTTCTTCAATAGTCTGAAAAAGAACACACAAGAGCCTTGGAGCGGCTGGAGATTTGCTTTTTCTGTGAGCCTTAGAGAATCCACATGGCTTCAACAAAACATCAGAATTCCTGTTGATACCGTGAAATCTCATAGCGTCCTTGCCCATTAAAAACTCAATCAGTCTAAATCTATTGAACTATCATGAACTGTCATGGACTATCATGATCTCCATCTTTAAACTAGAGCTACCATTGCAAAAGTCCCTGCCCAAGGCGTGATTCTTTCTCTCAAGTGCTTTGACTCTTCGGCTCGTCCGCCGACACCTCGCCGTGTTCAATATGTTCAATGGATTGATTTGAGGGAGAATTTACAGGAAACCCATAAGGAAACGATGAAACATCAGGAAACCATGGTTTTCACCATCCAATACACGGGGCTAATGTAGGTTTTTATATGGTTTTATCATGTTTTATCCAAGTTTGGAACATGTTCAGAAATAAAGGGGCAACAGGTTGCCTTGATTTCGGCTTCAGCACTTACTTTGGCAGAGCAGGGTGTGTCAATCCACCCCGACGGTCATAGATATATGATTGGAACAGGGAAAAATGTTCAACCACCAACCGCATAAAGCATGGCATCATATGCCCCCAAAGCCTCATGGAACCATCATGGAACCAAAGTTATTCTTCAAAATGTACTGTAGATGTTTACGAATGTCATACTGATTTAAATCATTTATGGTTCTGTAGTATCGGTAGTGTCCATTTTTCCAGAAAATCCATCTCTGATACACTCCCACCTTAGCTGAGAGGTGCAACTTGCTCTGGCATCAATTCTTGTAGGCCACCCAATCTCGAAGCCAGTTGCCCATTCGTTGCAGCTGAACTGCCACCCCCAGGCCGGAAATCACTGCCATCTGTCTGGACATGTCAAGAGAAACCATGGCAATCTGTGCCACCATGCCAGCAATAACGAACAGCAGTAGCAATTCCGGCAGTCTGCCCAGATTGATTCGAAAGCGACCTATCTTCAATCCTCCCTGATCTTCCTGACATTCTGCTTCTGTTTTGGCACCTTCAGTACCCCGTTTTCGCAATTTAGCATCCTGTGCCATGGCTGCAAGATGCTGGAAGCTCAAGTAAACTTGTCAGGTAACTGAGTGTGTTGTTGGCTTTCTGTTTCATATTTCCAGCAAGAGAGTCTTTCTTCATGTTTCTTCATTCATTACACTATCCTATGAGGAGAATGGATCTGACAATAATGATGTCCGTCAAAAGCGGTCAGACTTAGACTGATTCTAGCTCTTTCGTGGCTGAGCCACAACGGTAATCTCAGACCGCCAAAGTTACAGCAAAAACGGTCCCTTTCACAAACTCTTTATCACCTAAACCATTCCATCCCAAGCTGTTCTTCTTCCTGGGCAAGACTATCTTCAAGATTTTCAATGAGGATGACTGACCTCACGGGTATTCTGCCACACATGCTGTTGCAACCTGACCCGTACCATCATCCGTTTCGCTGAAACATTGCCAACTAGGCAATCAGAAAATAATAATTGTCATTAATCATCACCATAAGAAAAGATACACACATGTAATGAAGCCATATCTCTGTATGTCTACTTACCACCATCACCATCACCATCAGCATAATAATGATACTTATCGTCATCATCGTGGTCATCCCTTTTGTGATCATGGTGCTGCGAGTCAGGTATGCCATTGGACACAATCAAACTAGTGCGTTGTCCTTCACTTTTCACTCGCACACATTCTATCAAATCTCGTCATTAAACATTCACTTCTTGTTCTCAACCGAGGACTCTTCACCAGTTGGCCTCCCAGAACGCCCCCAGATGCTGACATGGACAGCGAGACGAGCCATGGCAGGATGCAGATGCGCTAGCCATTGTTGCAGTCGAGGTTGGTCGGAAAGGGAACCAGTTTGACACTTTCGCCTTGTCCACTTGAAGTATTTCTACCAGAAGTCCTCCGCTGCCAAGTCCCGCAAGGCTTCCTGCAACAGCTCCAGTGCCCTTGACGCATCCACCTTTGTCGCAAAGTCAGCGAAGTCAGCAACCTCTGTAGGAGCATACTTTGGCGCTGAGTCCAAGATGTCCAAGGAGCCTTCAGGGACCCCACCACTGGGACCCCAGTGCTGCAGATTCAGGGCATCCCAATAACTGGCCGCAAGCCGCTGGGAGTTCTTCCAGTTCTTGCGCATGGCAAGCAGATCTGCCTCAATGATGTTCCTCTCAAAGCTGTGGCATCGGTAGTGATCACTTCGATACCCTTTGGTCATCTCATGGCAATGGGAAATCCCCTGGAAGTACTAGGTTTCAATAGGGAACCTGAAAATTGGTGATTTCCATTGCCATGTTTGATTACTGGAGGGTATGTACAAGGAATGATTGCAGCAATGCACATGCCAGCCGCTAGAAGTGGTTTCCTCCCTGATTATCCCTGATTTGCAAAAATCATCCGTATGTCACGGGCGCAAACATACTGAATGCTGCTACAAGATGGTGCCGCCCCAGTTATAAAGGTTGGTTTATAATTCCACTATATAACTATAGATATGTCAACCACAAAACCCTATAGTTATTAGACTCATGTTTACCAACTTATAGCTATCAAAAATACACTAACAATCCATATATTTTGAATATTTTGGGTGGTTAAATTACATAAATCAAAGTTATACAAACCCTTGGTCTTTAGGGCTTCACCTCGTGCGCCAAGCCCTGGCTCCTCAATGTCCTCCTCGTCGCCTTCATCGCTCCGACGCCAGGGCCATGGATCATCGGAAAGCGGCGGCGCCGGAAGGCACGGGCTAAGGCCAGCAGGGGATAGTCCACCTGGGGAGAAGGAGATGATTTGGCCAATGTATGTATATATGCTATATATGTGTGTAGTATATAATAGAATTAAAACTATAATACTATAGGTTACATGATGTGTGTTAGCAGTTTTCATATCATATAGTATATATATAATGTGTCTATAAAACATATCATATCAGATCAAATTATATAAATAAATATATATATAATATGCTATGATATATATATAATATGCTATGATATGAAATGACATGATATGGAATGATATGAAATAAATAAATAAATATATATATATATATGATATGTTATGATATAATATGATATGATATGATATGATATAATATGATATGATATGATATATATATATATATATACACCATAGATATATATGTATTATCATATAATATATATGTATATATATATGTATATATATATGATATATACATATACCACATATTTATGTAAATATATATATATATATTTATAAATAGATATCATATATATATATAATGTTGCTTTTGTCCGCAAGGATCTGAGAAGTGGGGATGACAATGGGAAATCATAGTAACCCACCCTAAAACTGCAAAAGTGGTGTGACATTTACCGCAATATGTTGGAATTTGTTTTACGTTGCTACATGGGAATTGAGCCAATCAGAAAGTGAGGGAGAAAGCAACATAGGGACTTAACGTGTCAGAAAGGGAGATAGTCATAGTCATAGTTATTAACTAATCAAAAGAATGGGAACTGATGATGGAAAATTGCAAGAATCAATGGACAGGAAGCCTTTTCCTTCACTCGGTACCATCTGAGAAAAAAAAACAGGAATCCAATCGGCAACACTGTAGATTTCACGCAGGCAAACCCCGCAGGGGTGATATTCGCGCGCAAACACTGGGGATCTTAAGCAACAAACAGACATGGACCAGTATTGAATTTAAAACGGTAATCATGAGCAATAAAAATAGATATTCATCCAGTTAAGGAACATTGGCCATGCAACATGAGGACGTTAAGTATTTGTTTATCATCATGAAGACAATCAAACATCTAAGCAACAAAACGGAGTAGATCACCAGCACAAAATCATGAAAGTATGATCATCATCTGCAGCAGCATACTCTTCATCATTTCTTCCCACAAAGCCGCAGCAACGCGTACTCTCCCATGTATTCCCATCCCTTTTTGTGTGTGTGTGTGCTGCCCTATATGGCTGTGTCAGAAATTTCGGTTCCCCCAAACCATCGTTTTCTCCACAAAAAATGATCTAAAAACAACAACTTTGATAATTTTGGGGTCCGTCTGGTCCCATTCAAATTCTCTTTGGAACTCCTCAGGAAACACAAAAACGGGCCATGCTCCGCCTGGCATCCCCGTGGGGTTTCGATCAGCATGGACGTTACTGGATAGGGCTCCAAGGCATCATCTGGGGCGGTGGAACTGTCAGTGCGAACATACCTGGCCAAGTTGGTTCCAAGAATGCTGGAATTTGTTGTCCCAAGATGCTTGCAAGCCCGAAAACAAGCGAAGAATAGAACGGTTTTGACCCAACCTAACAGGACATGAGATGTATGCAAAGAAGCGCATTTATCCCCAACATATGGCCATGAGATAAAAAGAGGATAAAAACCATGTGTTTTGGGGATTTTGGAGTTTTTGGAGTTTTCCTTTTTTATTACAGACAAATCCGTGAGGGCTTGGACCAGAGGGATACCTTGGATTCTTCCCACGCTTTACTCTCCACTGTGAGTGGATGAAGGGGAAACCCTTTTGGTGGACCCGAAAAGGGCCATCCAACAAAATGCAACACACGAGGTTTTGAGTGATTGGAATAGTACCCGATTCTTGAGACATACCGACCCTGAAAAAAAATACCTCTGGTGACTGGTGAGCAAAAACATGGACATATCATAATTTGTAGATTATGAATCCGATGTTTACATGGTTTACTCTATTTTCATCTATTTCTATGGATTATATGGATTGATCATTAGATGGCAAGGATTTTCTTCGCTTGGGATGTGAATAAAAGTTGAATAACCCAGTTCGTGGAGGGGATGGATGCAACATAATTCAACCCACAGTGGCGTCTGGATCTATATCCACAGAGTCACATAGATATATCTATATGTGGGTATGTCTGAAAATGGGGGGTATACCGGTATACCCCTATAGCTTTAATGGGAAACTTATTAGAAACCATGGAATTTAGGTGTCTCCCATTTGCAGACAAAGGCTTTACATGACCCAAACATGGCAACAGCATGTACAACACCTACTGTACCAGGTGTGGGAAGTGCCAGAAAGGGGAAAGGGCCATGGTGAAGCAAAAAGGGACAGACTGCCTGTGCTAGTCAATCCACGTATAATTTATACTGTAACGTAATCTGTTGGGTTTCAAAGGGGGTTGCTTTGCTAAGAAGCACTTCGAACTTGTTGGACCCTCAAAATCCTCAAAGCAGGTTCGACATGAATCAAATCATCCCGAGTTTGTCGCTCCCACTCCCTCAAGATATAAATCAGTTAGACATGATCTTTTCACAGAGACAAAAACAAACCAACTTCAATCAAACACTCACAACTGGTTGGTGATCGAGTCATCAAAAAAATCTGCTCGTCAAGTTGGAATCATATTCAAACAGGGCATGGACTAAAATGAGCCGTTGCCAACCCGTCCCGTCATTCCTTTGTGCATTCTGGAGTTACAGAAAAGGCAGTTCCTCCCCAGGAATTGGTTGTGCTTCAGAATACCAATCGTCCAACGCCTCAAAAATCACCTCGGATTCTGCTGACCCAAGGGTTGCCCCGCCCCCTGGCTATGGAAAATGGGGGAGCCCCCCTCCACTCATCAAACAAATGGAAAAAAGGGCACGGATTTTCATGGAGCTTAGGTTGAGCGGAATGCAACTGGTTGCATTTTGGGGCACAGTGGTTGGGATCACAAGAAGAGAAGGATGGTCACCCTAGGGTGGTTCGCAAAAGAGTGAAGCACTCCCCAATACATTCCTCAGTTTTGGTGGCAGTGCTGGATGAATCAAAATACGTGGAAATACGGTTTATATTATGGTGAACCATCTTCTAACTCGAGGGGACACCACTTTGTGGGAATGATCCAAATGAGGAAACAATATGGCTTAAGTCTGAAAATAGGGAACCCCAAAATACAGTGGTTAATCTTCATTCATTTCCCAACATCATGGCCATACACTGGGTATTCAGCCATTTTCGGACAAGCCCACATGCTTAGGTCGAAGCATGGTGGCGTGTGGTCATCTCAACCAACTTGAGGATAATCATCCCGAAAAATGGGAAAATCATCCAATGAAATTTCTCCATGAATATCCCGTTGAACCACAATGTACCTCATCCTTTTTTAGAGGTCCGACTAAGTCCTTCGACAGTGTTTGTTTGGAGTGTAACTTGACCATGGCACAGCAGGTTTTTTTCAACATCCAGGTCACATTGCCTTCTCCCAAGCTGGAACTGCTGAAGCGTGGCCGACTCTCCAACCAGCTCCGTTTGAAGCAGAAACTGTTTTCGAAGGGCAAGGGTAGACCTGACGCTTGCGATTGCCGGGGCCGGGATCGCATGGGTGAAGAGTTGTTACATTTTTTACATTATTCCAAGTGAATGCGATGTGAAGGCCAAGCGCAGTCAAATTTGATATGCTCATATTACCTGGATCCTCTTGATCGTGGAAATTTCCACACGGACCAAAGCCAAAATCGATCAATTTTGCCAAATTCAAGCGAAAAAGAACTTCTGAACGGTTATTTTCACTCCAGAACGCTTTTTTTCACTCCAGAAAGCTTCCGAACGCTTCCGAACGGTTTTGAACGCTTGTTTAACGCTCTTTTCCACTCCACAACGTCCGAAGTGTCCCGAACGGCAAAAACCACTCCGGTATTCTTTTCTCCACACCAACCCCCAAAATTGACCTTTTTTCAGTTTGGAGTGAAACAATCCAGTATTGGGAAGCTCCAGGTATATATTATGTATGTGCCATAGTCAAACCAATGTATGTCATCCCACCATTCTTGGCAATCCTCGCGCTACATTCGCCCCATCTATGGATGAGAATCCCACAGGGGGTTATTTATCCTGAGGACCTGTACCTCAAATCCAGGTAAATCATCTGCAAATAGGGAAGCCAACACATCATTGCCATGATTTGCCATGTCTCTTGGAGGGCAAGCTTCAACATTGCCCCAGCTGACTATTTTTCCCACCATGCAATATTAATGGGTCCAATGTTAAGGCCCAGGGGACCGCCGCAGATTTTCTTAATGTTCTAGTACCAACAATCCAGTTTCAGGGGTATCTAATTTTGACCCATACCCAACTGGTGAGTCAAATGTTGGGACCTAAATCGCTGCAATCCCACCTTTGCAGCGCTGCAAGATGCCGGACTTCAAGACAGCCACGAATGCAACCTACCAAGACACCGAGTTCCACTGGACAACAGGCGTTGGCACGGATCAAATTGCATGCAACTGAATTACGCGTATACAATTTCAATGTCTGAAAAATCAATATATCATATTTACATCTAATTAATTAGGTATATCATATGATATGTATATATATATACACATAGGTCGCAGGCCTATGACCTTATATATGTATATATATATATATGTATTCACTAGTAATCCTATATCTTCTTTCGTGGAAATATATAGAACTTTGAGGTCTCTTGCAGCACGCCTCGCCTGAATACTGGAGCAGCTGGCGGATCTGGCAACCATTCTGGAGACTTGTTGTCGTAACCTCGGATTGTTGAACGGAAGCGAGGCTTGGTGGTTGAACTGAATTCCCTGGATGTGGGGAGGGTTCTTAAGCCATGGGGCATCCCCAAGTTACCATAGGTTTCAATACTAAACTGGTCTACTTTTGGATGATTTGGAGGTACCTTCGTTTTAGGAAACCTTTATTGTGTGCCAAAAAAAATAGCAAATGATTGATCAACTGAGGTCCCCCTGTCATGTTTTGGGGGGATGGAAAATCAACAAATGTCAAAACACCAAACATTGCGCAAATAAATATTTTGCAGGCAAAAATTTCCTTCATTGGAGCTAATGAATTGGTTTCAATGTGCAAAATGATAAACCTCTTCTTTGTGTTTGCACTGCTCGTCGGGCGAACTATTCAAAAATAGTGAACTCCGAGCTCTGAATTGAGAGAAATCTTCATTTCTTTACATGCCAAATTTTCCCACATTTTCTCGTCAACCCAGGTTTAACAAGCTGACCAAGCTGCTAAGGGTCAGACCGGTCTATGGTAAAAATATCATCATCATCCCAGATGCAAATGATATCGGCACCAGACCTCCAGCGACGTGGTGCCCCCCAGTCGTGTTTGTTAGTTTGTAAAAACCATTAAGAGATAGATATAAATGTAGATAATTATACATATATATATATATATTGTATTGAATATATATATATATATATATTGTATTGAATACATATATATATATATATATATTGTATTGAATATATATATATATATATTGTATTGAATATATATATATATGTATATATATGTATATATGTATATAAATATATATGTATATACATATATATATGTATATATATATATATGTATATATATATGTATACACATATATTACTATTAACCATAGTCCCTAGTTATGTTTGTATATGTTAGTTATAAGTTGGACACCAACTTAGCGAAATGGGAAACCACCTCCAGGGGGGTGGCTTTGAGACATCCCAACATCAACGTTGCGATCATCATTTTCATAGTATGCATTATCGCAATCAAAACCGTTGTTTTAATTCAAAATCATTCATCACCATCATCATCAACATCATCATCATCATTCAAAATCAACGTCGTCATCATCATCCTCATCAAGATCAACATCAGCATCATCAAACAATCAAAAACCATGCGCAACAACGTCAAAAGGAACCATCGGCAACATCATCAACTACACCATGAAAAACCAAAAACCACCACCACCACCACAACAACAACAACAACAACCACAACCACAACAACAACAATCACAACCACAACAACAACCACAGCAACAACAACCACAACCACCACGACAACAACAACAACCACAACCACCACGACAACAACAACAACCACAACCACAACCACAACCACAACAACAACAACCACAACGACAACAACAACCACAGCAACAACAACCACAACCACAACAACCACAACCACAACCACCACGATGACAACAACAACAACTACAACAACAACAACAACAACCACAACAACAGCAACCACAACCACAACAACAACCACATCAACCACAACAACCACAACAACCACAACAACAAAAACACAACAACAACAGAAACAACAACAACAACAACAACAACAAACAACAACAACAACAACAACAACCACATCAACCACAACAACCACAACAACAAAAAAACACAACAACAAACAACAACAACAACAACAACAACAACAAAAACAAAAAACACAACAACAAAAAACACAACAACAAAAAACACAACAACAAAACACACAACAACAAAAAACACAACAACCACAACAGCAACCACAACAACAACCACAACAACAGCATCCACCACCATCACCACCACCACCACCACAACAACAACAACCACAACAACCACAACAACCGCAACAACAACAACAAAAACACAACAACAAAAACACAACAGGAAAAAACACAAGAACCAAAAAAAAACAGCAACCAAAAAAACGGCAACCACAACAACAACAACAATAACAACAACAACCAAAACCAGAGCAACAACCAGAGCAACAACAACCACAACAACCACAACAACCACAACAACCACAACAACCACAACAACCACAACAACCACAACCTTGTTTTGGTGGTGCCTATGAGCCCTTCTTGCACCAACCGCCGTCTTTTTGGGCCTTGTTGCTTCCTCCACGGCCATGTTGCGCTTGTCTCCAATGGTGGTCCTAGCCACGTGAAAGTACCTGCGTGCTCAGGGAAGTCAGGGACTTGGTGGGCTGCCAGTGATTGGTGGTTAAAGGGCGCCAAAATAGCCAGTTGAATGGGGAACATGATTTTAGGGCTGCCCTATTGTTAGACAAACCCACTAGGTCCTTAAAGGACTCTGAAGTGGCGTTGCGTATTCTCACTCATCCGCCTCTTGAAACCATTGAAGCATTTTGGACTTGCCGAAACAAACAACATAAGTCAACATACCAATGAGACTAGTTGAAGTTTTACCAGGTGTTTTTTGTTTGCACGCATGAACCGGAAGCAACTGCAGTAGTTTCTTTTAAGTTTTAGCCTGTGGGCTTGGGCATGTTGAAAGATTTTTTTCTAGAGCAACGATTTTGCAACTTGTTTCTCAATATAAAAGACAGTAAAGCATGCAAAACTGCCAGCACACATCCAACATGGTTTTGGGAGATGTGCGCATTGAACCCAGTTTGGGTCGGTTTTAAGCTATTGAGATCTATTGAATGTGTTTTGCGTCAGTGGTGCGGAAGATGTTGAACCCATTTTGGGCATGTCTTGAAACTCCGTTGCGCATCTATGGGGCCCAAAGGGATTCTTAGGAACACATCAGCCCAGTGTCTGAATTCATGTTGTGGTTAAAGACCTTTTTCTTCTACAGTGCTAGCCAAGACGATTCACAATATGAGCATAAAGGCAACAAAAAGAAACAAAAAGCATATCAGCTAAGCTAAGCTGTCAAATATAATCCCAACCTAAGCCCCATAGGCCCACCACGTTGGCAAAATAGGCTCAATACAGTCGTTACATGGGCCCAACATAGGCGCAATCTAGTCTCAACATGGGACCACGCGATGTAACCTAGGCGCAACTTAGCTTCAACATAGATGCACTTATCCCACAAGCTAGAACAAACGCTTCCCGGTGCAAGTTGTTGACGGCGCACAATACATCGAAATGGTTTAACATTCAAAATCAAAACGGGTTGGAAGTTTCATCCCACTGACACAAATGAATCAGATTCGATCATCAGTCCACTAGCCCCAACAGCCAAAAACAAGTTTTGATGCCTCTTACAAGTACGCAACTGTAAAGCTGGGATGAAATGGGCCACTGACAAACCACCTACAGCATTCTATAGCCGGTTTTATTTAAAGGAAATTGAATTCGGAACGAGTTCCAGCGCACTTGATCTGCAACTTCTCGGGGAAGTCTGTGGTTGGCTGCTTCTGTGGGCTGTCATCCATAATGATCACCTACAAATGGCAGCCAAAGGCAAAGGGAAAGCCCACGTTGTCCAAACATGGGGAAATTTAAACAGCCAAAGAAGGGATGGAATAACCAAGAATAGGCACTTAATTTAATCATCCTTGAATTATGGATGTGGGTTTGTCTTGCCTCAAAATGTTTGAATCAAATGCTATGCAAGTCACAGGGTTTTGAGGCACACCACCTATTGATGTACATTACCATTGCATGAAGAATATCCAATCCAGTTCACTCAGCATGGACTCGAATCTGGCATTTTTTCAGGTTAGTGAACTATTGCAATTTACCCAAATTCATGGTAAATCTGGGATACCTGTCATCTTTTTCAGAGCTGATTAGTACATTTTACCATAGCAACAGAATTTGAAGTACTAGTTCGTATCTAACAAAAGTTGACCCAGGATTTATGCCCAAAAAATGATCCCAAAATGCCACCGATGTGCCTCCAAAGGCCCCGGATAGTCTTGGACCGCGATCTGATGCAATGCCTCAACAGAGGGGCGCCACAGAAACAGAGCCCATCAGTCCCTAAAGATTGGGATCATGGACCAAAATGGACATTCCCTAAAGATTGGGATCATGGACCAAAATGGACATTATGTGTTTTGCAATGTGTTTAATGACAATAAATTGACTGAACCAAGGGAACATAACCAGGAAAGCAAGGTTTTTTCCTGCAGAGTATCCCTTACTTGATCTAATGCACATAGGCAATCAGATTCGGAATGTCAACATCCAAAATGGATTGGCACCTGGACCGAACCAAACACACTGAAGTTGCACAAGTAGACTGGGGGATGTTGCTAACAGGATACATATCTCCATCCAAAAAAACATATCACCACCCAGCCCCAAAAAATGTGGTACGATGAGCAATCCTGGGGAAATTGGCTACAGTAATCTTGGATATCATGCCAAATTCAAGTGTATATATTTCAGTCCAAAATTTCCTCAGTTAAATTAACAGCAAAATAAAACCAGATTGCTGGTTTTAACCCGTCCCCCCCCAAAAAAAAACATCTCAAACAATCATCCCAGAAATAGTTGGAAAACATTTTTTCCGCTGAGCGCAATAATAAATGTTTGAAACCTGCAGCCAGCAACTTACCCATTTCCAAAATATGGCACAACCACTTGCTGCGCGCAGCCATCGGCCTGCGGCAGATGCATCCCCTGCCTGCAACAGAAAGGCCGAGCGGTTATAGGTGACGATCTGCACACTGACGAAAGGCCAAGGACCTCGGTATAAAGGGATGACGATGTCGAAGATGGCCGGAAAAACATATTTCAAATGGGTCAAATCAAATGGTCGGAATATGTTTGCTTAAACCAATTACATCCATTATGTTGGTCAGCCGTTTATCCAAATCCTCAACCACAATAGAAATACAATTCACATTGGCCTTAAATTCTACACTATCAAAAATAATCGCAATAATCCAAAAGCAAACAAAAAAAATTGGGCAACCCCGTGTTGAGCCGATCAGGATCCAGCTATCTTCTGTGTCCACATGGTTTGATTGGCATCCAACCTCAGCGTTGCTGTGGAAGTCATAATTCGACGAGTTTCAGTTGGACAATCCACTTTCCTGCTGTGGGAATCATCATACCAAATCACATGAAAATCATTGAAAACCAACATACTAGAAACAATTTGACACGTTTCAAAACCAACAGCCAGGATTTATTATATATATATGTATGTGCTTGCAAAAAAATGAATATCTATATATATATACATACATATGCATGCAGATATAAGTATATATATGTATGTATGTATGTATGTATGCAGGTATGTATGTATGTAAATTTAAACAAGCATATGTACATATACAGGCATATGTGCGTAAATATAAAAATACATGATATATAGGTATATGTATGTATGTATGTATGTATGTATGCATGTATGTATGTATGTATATATATATTATAACAATCTTTATGCGTACAGATAAGTGTATATAAATGTATGTACGTGTTAAAAATATATTCAAATAAACATGTGCATATATAGGTATATGTATATATGTTTAAAAATGTATGTGTTTGTAAAAACAAATATGTATATCTACGTTTTTGAAAAAACAACAAATATGTGTATATGCAAATATATAAATGATATTATTTAAATATATGTATGTATATGTACATATGTAAAAATGTAAAAGTATATATGTAAATAAATGTAAATATACGTATATGTAAATATAAACAAAATATGTTAATATGTAAGAACATGTATAAATATACATGTATACATGTCAACATATATCTAAATATATATATACATGGAAAAGTAAAAATATGCCGGTATATGTATATATGTATATATGTACGTATGTATATATATATATGTAAATGCTTCTATGTTTATGTAAATGTATATATTTATGTAAATATATCTAAGTATGTATACAAGTATATATGTAAATTTGCAAATATGTAAATACCTGTATATGTAAATATGTATATATGTAAATATGAATATATGTATATATGTATATACGTATATATGTATATATGTATATATGTATATATGTATATATGTATATATTTATATATGTATATATGTATATATGTATATACGGTTGTATGTAAATGTGAAAATGTATATATATATATATTTACATGTATGTATGTATGTATGTATGTATGTATGTATGTATGTATGTATGTATGTATGTATGTATGTATGTATGTATGTATGTATGTATGTATGTATGTATGTATACATGTATAAATACGTATCTAAGTTCACACCTATAACAGTATATATGTATATGTGTAGACATGTATATATGTATAGATTTTTTGTAAGTAGATATGTATATGTAAGTACAGATGTGTATATATATATGTATATGTATATATATATATATTGAAAACAATTCCAAGATTATCTGAAATCTTCATCCATCCATGAGTCATGGGTATAAAATGGTATCAGGAAACCATTGGATTGTCATGTCAAGACATGGGTAATCTCCCCTCCAGTTACCGTAGGGCTTTTTTGTTATGTCCCCGCTATATTCTCACCACACTCCCATGATATCCCTATGGTTCCTTTATAATCCCGATGTTCATAGAGATTGGTGAGCTGCGCTGAGGGGTTTGCAACGCTGGGACTTCGAGAAGGACCGGATCCTGAAGCTGAATATTCACAAAGACCCCCCCCAAATTGGTATAAGACATGAGATATTAAAAGGGTATAGTCCGCCGATCCCTGCCATCAGCAGGGGAGCGCGTCAGGGAATCCCCCCAAAAAAAACGAGAGACTGAACAAAAACAAGAACGCACCTGTGCACAGCCACTCTATGGCGAGCCCGAGCTCTCTCACATCTGCCAGACCCGAAGTCTATGGCAAGTTTGAAAGCTTTTTGGGGTGTGCTGGACACTATGCTCAGCAGGACTGAAATGGTGCAAGTATAAGAAGTTAGTATTGACATGGTTTGGTTGTCAAAATAAACGTAAAGACATAAGTCAGTTTAAGCAAGAAATAAATAAATTAAAAAAAATAAAAAATGATGTAGAAAACCAAAACAGTAAGGCCATTCTATTGGATTTGTTTAGACTCGAGCTCATCAAATATGCTTGCGTTCCCTTCCTGCTGGCCAAGCCGCGCCAAACGTCTGATAACACAGGACTCTGAGAATCAAAGTGCTACCAAGCACACACTGGTCTGGTTGAGAGTTCTGAGGTTAAATCCAAAATGGTGAGGTCGAAACGCCAAATCTGAGAATACATCCACACGGTAGAGGCCGAAGGTAAATCCAAACGATTGAGGCCTGAAATCCACATAGTTTAGGGCAAAGAGCCTCTGAGACTCCGTTAGTTACCTGAATGCTTGTCGTCCTGAGAAAGGGTTCTAACTTGCCGGACCTGAACCGCGAGCTCCAGATCTCAGTGGGCACTGCCGGACATCAACCGCGAACTCCAGATCTCAGTCAGCACGGCCGGACCTCAACTGCGAGCTCCGGAGCTCAGTGGGCACTGCCGGACCTCAACGGCAAGCGCCAGATCTCAGTGGGCACTTGCCGGACCTGAACCGCGAGCTCCAGATCTCATTGGGCACTGCCGGACATCAACCGCAAACTCCAGATCTCAGTCAGCACGGCCGGGCCTCAACTGCGAGCTCCGGAGCTCAGTGGGCACTGCCGGACCTCAACGGCAAGCGCCAGATCTCAGTGGGCACTTGCCGGACCTGAACCGCGAGCTCCAGATCTCATTGGGCACTGCCGGACATCAACCGCGAACTCCAGATCTCAGTCAGCACGGCCGGACCTCAACTGCGAGCTCCGGATCTCAGTGGGCACTGCCGGACCTCAACCGCGAGCGCGAGATCTCAGTGGGCACTTGCCGGACCTGAACCGCGAGCTGCTCCAGATCTCAGTGGGCACTGCCGGACCTCAACTACGAGCTACAGATGTCAGTGCCCGTGTGAGAGAGAATGTCAGAATAGATGCCCGATAGAATGCCAGACAGAATGCTAAAATGAATGCCTGAAAAGATGCCAGAAAGAGTGTCAGAATAGATGCCAGAAAGAATGTCAGAATAGATGCCAGATGGAATGCCAGAAAGAATGTCAGAATAGAGAATACTTCCAGATAGTCATTATGTCAGAGTGTTTCAGGGTCGGGGTCACTATAAGGAAACATGTTTTTTGAAAGGGACGCTAGGCGGCAGCCCGTGGCCCGAAGCCCGGTGACATGGAGCTTTTTCCCGTTGGAGTTTTCCCGTGGCGAAAGATTGGGTTTAGAGCCGGCCACCGGCAGAACGCGAAGTGAGGCAGTGGCGCCGAAGCCCCGGTGAAATCTTCATGGTGTTTCATGGTGTTGTCGTGCGGTGGACGGGTAAGTTTGAAAGCCAGCCAGCGCCAACAAGGGCTATTCAGAAAGCGACGGAGAGCTGGGTTTGCGGCAGGCTTGGCTGTGGCCCGACCTGGCAATATAGGCGCCGTGGTGTTTTCCTGCGGTGGAGGGCTGGGTTTGGGGGACCTGGCCCCGCGGTTGGGATTTGGGGTTTTGGGGGGGAGCCTGGTTTGTAAGGTTGATTTTGAACGGTTTTGGTTTTGGCACATGTTTAACAAGTTTCTGGAACACCCCTGCAAACAAAATGTCGCTACATTTGCTCAAAGCTGTCCAAAATGCACTGTAAATACCGTGGTTTTGAAGCCAGCTAAACATATACCACGTATCTGGCATACGGTGGCTCAAAATCATCGATATTTACATTATTCTTTGCCCGCCACCATCCAAAAACACTTGTATTTACGCAATTTAAACCACGTTTCTTGTGGCACGAGGGGCCCTCAGAATCCTATGACTCCAGCACGTTCCTAGCGCGCTCGCGGGGGGAGATGGTTTATTCCAAGCATCAAAAAGTGAGCGCTACAACGTGGAAACTGACAATAACACCATCACAGTCAGCACAGGCCCTCTCTGGCCTGCTGCACACCAGGCACACGGCACCATCGAGCCAGCACTGTGCAACTTCCACCTTGACCCTTTACAGCATCGCCGGTGTGCGAAGCTCTACAATAATGGGTTGTAAAACAAGCAAATAAGTGCTTGGGAATATGCTTGGATGTGTCTGAAAAGGTGGTACGCCTTCAAAATGGCAATAGGGAAAATGATAAACAATCAATGGACCTACAGGTACCCAGCTTCAGACAAACGCAAGTAACCTTGCGCGATAGAATCTTGATAATAAGACATTATCAAATAAAATGATGAAGAAGGATATCAACATGTACAGGTGGTTTGTCCATAGCCACTAAGCCAACGTCATCCTACATTATCAGCACAGGTCAAAACTTCCTCGTCAGCTGATACCTTTCCTTTGTAACAAATGGCACGCTGCCATACAACTACAGGATTGTTTTGGAACAAAAACCCTTGCATAGACATCACAGGTTTAAAGAAAGCTCCTCCACACTGTGAAGTCGAACACGCATAACATATACAGTCTTCTCACAAGCAAGCCACTTCACGCCAGGACAAGCAAGCCACTTCACGCCAGAACACCATGAGAATACCATTCGTTCAACTATTTCAAAAGCATCCGTTGTGGGATTCCAGGTCATCAACTCCCAGAATTTTAAAAAAATGGGGGGAACATGGTCTGAAGCCTATTATTCCAAACCCAAGTAATTTGGGTGACTGCTCGCAGCTCCTGTCCAGGTCAGGTTGGCGTATCTGCTCATCTTGGAAAGCACCTGAGTACAGCCACGCATCACTTTGCATCTCGCCTGACCTCCAATGGGCTTCACAGAACCTGGTGCCAAATCCCCTTTCTCGGCCAATGAGTACTGGCTCTATACTCTGTCACGCAGACCACCGATTCAGCCGGTCGACGGAAGTCTCGCACACCCGAGATTAAAAACCCCGTTGAAAAAAACAAAGCACGAACATTTTTTCAACACTTCTTTGCACGATGCCCCTTGGACTGAAATCTCCAAGAAAAGCTTCTGCTTTGAGGTCTGTGACTCAAACGGCTTGCGTTCCGGGACAAACGACCAACATCTATCAGTCATTCTTGAATAAAGCGATCTCGCGTCCCACAAACAAACCGCTCGTTATTGTCACACGTCTAAGTGAAGAAAGGAAAAACTTCCGGGCACCGGTGCTTTTACAGCCCGGGGGAGCCCTGCACTGCCTGCAAAGGTGTTCTCGAAGAACACCAAGAGGTATATAATATACCGTCCCCGCGGCCCACCTGGCACCCCTTCAGGAGAAACTATTTGCGATTTGGTCCTCCCCGGTACTCCTGATGGGAAAGCCAAGCTTGGTGTCAATCGATCTTGACAAGAAACGCAATCACTACCACGCAAATAGATCCGCTTCATGATTTTCCCATCTGTGAAATTTTCGGGTGTGGTCCGGGTGATGAAGGACCCTGCATGCCTCGAGCGTGCCGTGAGCATCGGCTATTTGTCATCAACAAAATAAAATTAAACTGGTTCCACCCCACAAGACAAAAAGGGAAATAAATCCACAGCCATTGGAAGTGACAGTTTGTTCATGAGGAAGTGACAGTTGAGATGTGGACATGATGCAATTATAAACATGCATGTAATTATAAACATGTATGTAATCATAAACATGATGTCACATTTCAGTGGCAACTAGGTAATACATCTCACATGACTTCACACACTAATGCATGAAAACAACGCACATGAACACATATATCTACACAACATAACATCAATAGAAATGTAGCATACCATGAAACCACCAAACATCATAGTTATGAAGACCTGGGCCTTCCCTGGAAACCTCTGACATTAGGAAACTCTTGAACTAGCAAGCAGGTTGTGTATACAAATATATATATATATGGATTCTGGAAATCAAGGAGCTAAATTTAAAAACAACTAGGTCACACTTGAATATGTTGGTGGGTTTTGCATTTGTTTTGTGAGATACCCAGGGTAAATGGGGAATGCCAAGATGATGGGAACATACCTTACACTCCCCAAGGACCCCCTGACAGTTTATGCCCATATGAAAAAAGAACGATTTGCTGTGCAAAAATCCTGGATTCCAGGATTCACCCATTGCCATGTCAAGGACATGCAAAATTGCATTAGAAGCTCCTTAGAAACCTCATACAGTGCATTAGCAGGTTTATTTTGTTTTTGTAAACTACTTCCTGTAGCAATAGTAAAACAAATCCTGGTTAGGCAAAGAGTCTCAATGAAAACTATGTTTTTCTTTTAGACAGTGTTCATTCTCCTGTGTCCTGGACACCTTGCTTGCTCACAGGAGCCTGGATCTCAGTTTTTAAGTCTCTACTGCAAAATTGGAAAGGGCATGATGCATTCAATTACGTTCTAACTCTCGTGCACTCACTTGCATTTGAAGTTCTTAAATTTCAGAATGGAGAAACTGTTTGAATAAAGCGTCCAGTCATTTCAAGAGGTTCCTTATGTACTGCGTTTTTGAGGGAAGGGGAGTGGGCAGAGTCATTGCTTGAGCACAGGAGCATGGTCCTCAGTTTTGTATTGTTCAGTTTTCGGTTTTTAATCTAAAAACAATTTGTTCACCAAGAGTGCATTCAACTGTGCATGAGATCACTATGAAGCTGTCAAGTGCTGGATTCAAGTTTTTTGTTATGAAAAAAACAACTTACAGACTTACAGAATGTGATCTGTAATGTTGCAAGACGGTTTGAGGGGAGGGGATCACTTTTACTTGTGCGCAGGAGTCTGGACCCCAGCTTTCAGTGCCTAAAGGCATTTCCTATTAAAGTGGGTGAGTCCTGGAATCCAGGACTTTCTTCATGTGAAAGTGGTGTATGAAGACAAAAAAATCCTAGCATTTCAAAAAAAAAGCAATATAAGTTATGTTGGGAAGAGCGAGGTTTTATTTCACCATTCTGGCATTCCCCATTTATCCCATATAGCCACCTTGTAATCTTACTACAGTCACCAAAAATGTCCAAGAGTGCATTCAATCTTGACTTAGCTCTTTTTGATTTCAGCTCCTTGAGTTCTGGTACAAAACCTTTTGCTAATTCAAGAGTTTCCCAATGTCAGAGATTTCCAGGGAAGGTGGCAAAGAGTCTCAATGATTTTTTTTTTAAGACAGTGTTCCTTCTCAGGTGTCCTAGACCCCTGGTTGGCTCAGAGGAGCCTGGATCTCAGTTTTGCATATCTACTGACTGTTCATTTACGTTCTAACTCTCGTGCACTCACTTGCATTTGGATTTTTTGAGTTCTGGAATTCCGGACAAAGTTTCAATAACAAGTCATTTCAAGAGGTTCCTTCCCCAAGAGCTATTTTAAGGGGAGGAGAGTGGGCAGAATCATTGCTTGAGCACAGGACCCCAACTGCGCTGTGTTCAGCTTTGAGTGCAAAACTTCAAGTAAATTTGCTCACCAAGAGTGCAGTCAACTGTGCAGTTTTTAACTAACTGGCGTTTGAAGTTGTTGAGTTCTGGAATCTTATGGAATCCAAAAGTTCTTGTTTCTTTTGAATTCGGTTATCACAGCCTTTCTGCATATACCTGCATTTCTACACATCCACAACTATCTTCATAATAGTATATGTATACCTTCCATGATTATTTGTACCATATGTACACTTACCAGGCCCTACGTCCTTGGATCATATGTATACTTACCAGGGCTTATGTCCTTGGATCATACGTATACTTACCAGGACCTAGGTCCTTGGAAAAACAACAGACAAACAAGCACAAGACAGACTCATACACAGACAAAAAATGATGGGGAGAATTTATGTACAGACAGGTAGAAATTGAAGTATATAGATGCTGGATACAGAAATAGGTGACTTGCAGATAGTTTGACAATAGGAATATAGACTGATGACAACTAGATGATAAAGATAAAACAATATATACTGTATTTATTTAAATACACATTATATAATGAATCATGTTCTCAAATAGGTCAATAGACTGATAGATAAAACAATAGATAGATCAACAGATAGATCAACTGATAGATAGCCAAATCTAGATGATCCAGACAGATAGAAAAAGATAGCAAATAGGTAGACTTGCAAGAGCCAAACTGACAAACGCATATAAGCAAACATAAAAAGACAACACATGCAGAGATGCAGTGCTAGAGAGAGATATTTAAACCAATAATATTTGTATTATCTTCACCAGGACTTATGCCCTGAGGAAATATGTATATACAATCACAGTGCTCATGTGCACACAGTCTTGGACTAAGGATCACTAAGGATCACTAAGGAGCACTATGGATTGATGCTGCAAACAGCAACTAGTCTGCCGTATAGGCAGTGTCCTGCACAGGGGCTTTTTTTTCTCGATTGGTCCTTGCAACAGTCTTTGCGACAGTTCGGTGCCTCAGTGGGTGCCCAATCTCACTACCTACATAAACCACATCATAAATCCCACCACATATATTTATTTATATGTATATATGTATATACATCTTTTATGAAATACGGCTTCCAGGACATGGTTCGTCTTGGTGTTCATTTTGTTATTGTTGGTCCTGGTTTCCAGGACATGGTTGTTGTTGTTGGTCCTGGTTTCCAGGACATTGTTGTTGTTCTTGTTGTTGGTGGTCCTGCTTTGCAGGGTAGTCTCACTGGTTGTTGTTGTTGGTCCTGGTCTCCAGGACACGGTTGTTGGTGTTGGTCCTGGTTTCCAGGACATGGTTGTTGGTGTTGGTCTTGGTTTCCACTACATGGTTGTTGTTGTTGGTCCTGGTTTCCAGGACATGGTTGTTGTTGTTGGTCCTGGTTTCCAGGACATGGTTGTTGTTGCTGGTCCTGGTTTCCAGGACATGGTTGTTGTTGTTGGTCCTGGTTTCCGGGACATGGTGGTTGTTGTTGTTGTTGTTGTTGTTGTTTTTGTTGTTGTTGTTGTTGGTGGTGGTCCTGGTTTCCAGGACATGGTTGTTGCTGTTGGTCCTGGTTTCCAGGACATGGTTGTTGTTGGTCCTGGTTTCCAGGACATGGTTGTTGTTGCTGGTCCTGGTTTCCAGGACATGGTTGTTGTTGTTGGTCCTGGTTTCCAGGACATGGTTGTTGTTGTTGTTGGTGGTCCTGGTTTCCAGGACATGGTTGTTGTTGTTGGTCCTGGTTTCCAGGACATGGTTGTTGTTGTTAGTCCTGGTTTCCAGGACATTGTTGTTGCTCTTGTTGTTGGTGGTCCTGTTTTACAGGGTAGTCTCACTGGTTGTTGTTGTTGGCCCTGGCTTCAAGGACATGGTTGTTGTTGTTGGTCCTGGTTTCCAGGACATTGTTGTTCCTCTTGTTGTTGGTGGTCCTGTTTTACAGGGTAGTCTCACTGGTTGTTGTTGTTGGTCCTGGCTTCAAGGGCATGGTTGTTGTTGTTGGTCCTGGTTTCCAGGACATGGTTGTTGTTGCTGGTCCTGGTTTCCAGGACATGGTTGTTGTTGTTGGTCCTGGTTTCCAGGACATGGTTGTTGTTGTTGTCGTTGTTGTTGCTGTTGTTGTTGTTGTTGGTGGTGGTGGTGGTGGTGGTCCTGGTTTCCAGGGCATGGTTGTTGTTGTTGGTCCTGGTTTCCAGGACATGGTTGTTGTTGTTAGTCCTGGTTTCCAGGACATGGTTGTTGTTGTTGGTCCCGATTTCCACAACATGGTTGTTGTTGTTGGTCCTGGGTTGTTGTCGTTCTTGTTGTTGGTGGTCCTGTTTTACAGGGTAGTCTCACTGGTTGTTGTTGTTGGTCCTGGCTTCCAGGACATGCTTGTTGTTGTTGGTCCTGGTTTCC